TTTTTTTTTTTTTTTTTTTTTTTTTTTTTTTTTTTGAATTTTTTACAAATGTTTTGTAGCTAACAATTTGTTTTTTTTTTGTGACTAATCTCGGGTTTTTTTTTTTTTTTTTTAATGGCAATTTGTTTTCATGTGGAAAATTCAATTATACTCATTAACGGGGGTTTTTTTTCAAAAAAAAAAAAAAAATAATAAATTTTACCACGGCTTAAAATTCTTTTTTTTGCACCACAAAACCTTCAATGCGTTTTTCTTTTTTGTACTGGAATCAAACAAAAAAATAATGTTGTAGTATAAAATAAACATGTTTTTATATTTCAGCATCGGACAAATCGGATCTTGGTTTGGATGAACTTGCTTCATTGAATGTTAAATCACGGTATCAAGTTTTTGAAAAAGGAGAAGAAACAACCAATAGCGTTTTAGAAAAATCTCCGAGTAATATCAGCGTGAAAAAATCACCTTCAATTCTCAGTAAACTCGCTAAGTAAATAATAATTAATTATTATTATTATTCTCTTTTCAATTCGATTCAAAAACAAAAAGAAAATGTTTTTTTTGGTTGTATATAGATTTCAAAAGAAAGGTATCGACGTTGGAGTTCGCGATGAAGATTTAAATGGTTTGCCGGTGGAACAAAGTTCGACTTCTAGCGAAGACGAAGAAGATGAAACGGAAGGTATTTTATTTATCTATAAATATATAAAAAAGTAATACCGATAAAGAAAATTCAAAACTAAAATGGAGGTGTTTGCGTTTACAGAAACCAGTGCATCAAAACAAATCGTTAAATCGAAAAAGATAAAAGAAAGGCCCATGAGTTTTAGTAAAATGGATGATGTTAAAAGCGTTTGGGAAAATGGTGTGACTAAAACGAGAGAGGAAATGAGAGAAGAAAGAAAAGCGGAAATTCATCAGATTAGATCGAAATTATTTATGGTTAAAATTTTTTTATTTTTTTCTTTTTCTTTCTCTTGAAATTTATTTAATATTTGAAATTTGCGATGTAGGGCAAGCAAGTGAAAATGAAAGAAGCATACGAACAAGCCGTGAGGGACAGTGAAAATTCCTCACCCAAAAAATCAATTGAAGTCAGATGTGAAAAAGCAAAATCTATAAAAGAATGTTTTGAAAAAGGTGAACCACTCAACAACGTTGATGATGATAATAATGAAAATGAAGAAAAGAAAAAAGTCGTGGAAGATGATTTGAGCTTATTCGAAGCAGGTCCTTAATTAAGAATAAAAAAAAAAAAAAATTTGTTTATTATTTGTGTGTTGAAAATATTGATTTTTTCTTTTTTCTTTTGTTATTCAGGTATATCTAAAAAATCTCGAAGCATGTTTTTAGAATTGGATAAGTCTGCTAAAACTCAAGCTGCTACCGTTGTGAAAAAACCATCCATCAAAACATCAGGTCCAGCATCAAAACCACAAGAGGTTCGTATTATTTTTCACATATTTAATTACTTCCGGTCGTTAGATTTTTTTCGAAGACCATTTCTTGCTCTACATCTCAGTTAAATATAAATCCATTAAAATATTTTCACATGAAAGACTCATAGTAAAATCCCCTGTCCCACCGATCCCCCGGTAATGCCTAAATGCAAAGCTTTGATGAAGATTTTCATGTATCCACAAGATCCCCAAAGACATCAAAATACGGGAAAATTATATACTTTTAAAGGGATAGGCCTTTGGAAAGATCGAACGAATCGTTCGAAAAAAAAAATAAATTTTTATTGCGAAATAAAATCTGAAATCGATCGAATGTCAGCCGTGCGTAGGTTTGTCAAAAACCAGGTGAGGAAAATTTAAAAAAAAAAAAAAAAAAAAAGGTTTAAAGGATAATAAAAAAAATGTCTAATTAATTGTCCAATCTTGATTAGGTTTCTCATACGGTAACATCAGACAACATCGTTAAAAGTTCTGATACTGTTGAAGATGTTCAAATAGAGACTGCGGATATCAGTTCAAAGTTTAAATTTTTTGAAAGTTATAAAGAGCCTGAAAGGGAAAAGAAGCGATTTCGGATAACTCCTCCCAGAGAGGGGCAAGTTAAGGTTTCGTGTTTATAATAAATATATATATATATAAATACTGTAAGAAGTGTGTGGCTTATTATTGACATTTTTGGTTTTGTTTTTTTTTTTTTTGTGGAATTTGTCAATTTATGGGAATTCACTACGATTGCGTCCCAAAATCGATTATAAAAACATTGCTAATGCTGTTTTTTTTTTTTTTTGTATTAAAAAACTGTTTCTTTGATACTAACAAATTTAGATGATTTTTGCTTTTTTTTTTTTTTTGTAATTAATGAATTTTTTTTTTTTTTTTTGTTTAAATGAATGAATTGTTTTTGCAGGTTTTAAAAATTTTTCTCTGCATTATTGATTTAAAAAAAAAAAAAAAATCTAATAATATCATTTATTAAAATTGTTGACGATTATTTATTAATAAAATAAAATATATAAACACGTGATTTTAAAAAATTATAGGAGGAATCCCCTGAAAAAGAAATAGCCAGAGATCCGAACGTAATTCGCTCGTGTGATAAAGTTGATAATGAAATAATACGCACTAATACTACGGCTAAAATGTTATCCTTGTTCCGGCAAATGGAAGAAAAGACTGAAGAAATTCCCGAAGGTTTGCTTGCATTAAAAAAAAATTTTCATTACAATAAAAAAATCTCGTAGTAACTCGACTTTAATATCGTACCTACTAATTTAGGACCCAAACCGTTAAAACGTTTCACTCCTCCACCGGATTACAAACAAGAAAGCGAAGAAGATTCGGGTGAATCAGAAGAATCTGGAGAAGAGGAAGATGAAGAAGAACAGGAAGAGGAACATGTAGAAACAAATTCAAATATAATTCGAGCTTCTGATAAAGTTGAAGATGAATATCTCAAACAAGTTAGTAGTCAAAATTGACAAAATTTCTTGTATTGTAAAAAAAAAAAAAAAAAAAAAAATTAAATTTTAAATAATAATAATAATAATAATAATAATAATGTAAAAATTGTGTGTAGGCGGCAAACGCAGCAAGAGCCAAACAATTGAGAGCAAAATTTGAAAAATGGGAAGAAAAGGAAAAAGCACAGGAGGAAAATTCAATTCAGAATAAAATCAATGGAAGTGTTGTTAACAACAGTGTTAATACGGAAAATAGTGAAAACGTCGAAGTGACAAGTATAGAATGTACTAAATCGTTACGTGCTAGGTAAATGAAACCTTAAACATGTTTTAACATTTTCCCAAAAGAAAATGCAAATTGATTTTCCTTTTTTTTTTCTAGATTCGAATCTATGAAGGGTGAATCGGATTTTCCTAAAGAAAAACTAACCAGACCCAAAGTCAATAGATTTGTGGTATGTTATTAGTTTTAATTCTAACTAAAATTTTCCTTTCTCTTTTAAATCTGTTTGAAATTTTTTTTGAAAAGTTATTGAGCATGACACAATCTTTTTTTTTTTTTTTTTTTTTTTGTTTTATGTAATCAAGACTTAAACAAATTTTTTATGCTCAAATGTTAACGATTTTTTTTTTTTTAATGTTAAAATTGGAAAATTTATTGTGGCCAAAGTTTTTTTTTGTGAAAATTTTTTTTTCTTGTTTATTATTATTATTCTTTTTTTCGATTCCCTCATTAATTTTAAATTATTATTATTATTATCTTTATGATTATCTTTCAGTTAATTTGTTATGTTTAAAATTAAGTTATATATTTTTTATATTTCTTATAAGAACTTTTTTTTTTTTTTTTATTTAATGATTATAATTTTAAAA